CATGCCATTTTGAAGAGACGTGACAACATAATATAATCCCACTCAATATTAGCGTGCGCTCAGACTCGTCCCCAGTCGTTATTTGAATTTCAATTTTATAGGGACGAATAGTTATATATCCATATATATATATATATATATATATATATATATATATATATATATATATATATATATATATATATATATATATATATATATATATATATAGATCAGTACCAAAGGTGGACGCGCGCAAGGGGAAAAGGGAAGGCGAGGGAAAAAATAACGACTGGCAGATTACAGAGACAAAATGGCGGACAATTTGACAACAAAAGAGGAAAGACTATTTTAATATACACCACAGAGCGTTTTTAGCTGATAAACTCCCTTGTCCGCATGTGCTACAGTAATCCAAATGTTATTCGTAATGCAAAAATCCCATATCTCCTTTACTAAGAGATTTATCTCCTTGGAGTGACTAGTCCCCATATGATTTATACAGCAGACTGCTGTTGTGTTGTCCGATAGGATTTTTACATGCTTCTGACAAATATGATCTACATGAATGATTTTAGACTGAGTAATATGGCTTTAACTTCCAGCCAGTTAATGTGTTTCTCCGATTCTCCAGAGTCCCATGAGCCACCTGTAGGTGTGCCAGCTAGGGAGCAACCCCAACCCGTTTTTGAGGCATCTGTGGTCATGGTTGTGTCAGCTTGTCCGTGACTAACCACATTGTATGCACTTTCAATTGAGCTTACCCACCAGCTCAGCTCGTGCTTAGCCTCATCTGAAAGAGTCATGGTCTTATTAGAATTGCCTTTTCTTATTTTCAGGGCCACAGTTTTATCCATATCTAAGTGCCTATAATGTAATGGCCCAAACATTACTCCTGGGAAGCTAGCTGTTAACATGCCAATGACTCTAGCCACTTCCCGTATTGTAGGTTGAGGAGATTGTAGAAACTTTTGACAAGCTTCCTTAATTTTTTGTGTTTTTTCTCCTGTAAGGCTGATAATCATTTTTAATGGAGTTTAACAGAAAACCTAGGAATACAAGTTTCTGAGTAGGGTATAGGATTGATTTCTCAGGGTGTATAACAAGGCCCACTTGGTCAAGTAATGTGATAGTATCTTTCACATTTTTAACACACAGATTGAAGTCGGCACCTTGTAAATAAGAGTCATCTATGAATATTACAGATAGATGACCTATGCTCCTCAAGTTTGAGAAGACAGGTTTAAGGAGTTTTGTGAACTTCCTAGGGCAAATTGCCAATCCATTTGGGAAACATGTATACTGATATAGTTTCCCTCGCCATTGAAATTTCAGATATTTTTGATGGTCTTTGTGAATCGGGACAGAGTAGTATGCGTCCTTAAGATCAATGGATGCCATAAAGCATCCCGGACGCATCATACGTATAGCAGTCCAGATTGTGTCCATTTTAAAATGTTGGTATGTAACAGATTGGTTTAAACATTTTAGGTTTAAAATCATGCGATTGTGATATTGACATTTATTAGTTACATTGAAATGATACTCGTAAATAGCAAGCCTGTTTGCAGGCTATTAGGCATGGACCTTCGGGGGTAATAATTAACTGAAAGACTAAGACTATTGTTATTGTACATGTGTTCGGGGAAGACAATATATAAATTTACAGTGGTGGCAGCGGTGATTCTCGCTTTAAATTGTCGGAAATGGCAGAAATAAAACAAGCCTGTTATGACGGTACGGGAGATGTAGATTTGTGGCTTATGAAAATGAAGTTCTATTGTTCTACAAAGAAATTTGAAGGTAAACAAGAAGCTCACGCCATAGCGAGTAAACTCGAGGGGGCGGCGTTTCTATATATTGCGAGATTAGACGATGAACTTCAAGATGACCCAAAAGAAGTTAAAGCCGCTTTAAGGAAGGAATTCGACAAAGAATCGATCGACCACGAGAAAGCTGTCGACGAATTACGAGGTTTAAGGCGAAAAGGCGGTGAAACACCAGCACAGTTAGCGTGGAGAATCGAAAAGTTGATGGCGAAGGCTTACCCGGAGTTATGCGCGTCAACACACGGATCGGCGAAGAAAACAAAGGAACAAATGTTACATGATACCTTTTTGGGAGCTATTGACAATGCAATGAGTCGAAAGATAAAGAGCGACAGTAAACATCGAGATTTAAATTTAACACAACTTTCTGAAGAATTAGATCGGCTCGAGCTAATTTATAAAACAACAGCGCCAAAAGTAAACCTCGAAGTAAACAATTTCAAAACGACAGGGGAAGTAGACGAAATATCGTTAAGAAAGATAATCAGAGAAGAGGTAGCAGCCGCCCTATCCAAAGAAAACGATGGAAGTCGGGAAACGGAGGACGAAACAAAACGTACGGTCGGGTTCGTTGGAAAGAGAAATTTCCCGCCAAAACCTCGGAAATTTCCCGCCAAAACCGGTAAAAATCAAGCGTGTTTCCACTGCCAGTCGCCTGAACATTTTCGGAAAGACTGTCCATTTAAAGATCTTTGTCAACGCTGCTGGCAAAAGGGCCATACAGCACCATCTTGCCATGCTACAAGCCCTCGCCCTTCGCCGTCTTTAAACTCCAAGGCGGCTGGGAACAATCGTCAGCAAAAATAAATTCGTTCTCAGCCGCGAAGAAATTTATTACACTAACTGGTACAGTGGTTCAGTCTGGAAGCAGAGAGTTCAAGCATGAGTTTATTTGTGATTCTGGAGCAAAGGTTTCAGTTATTCCAACGGCGTTAGCACAAGAACATTACATGAAAATTCAACCAACTACACGTCACGTGGAGATGGCTAATGGGACACACGCAGAATGCAGAG